TTTAAAAAATGTTTAAAAAATGTATTTCTATATTGAATTAAAAATTGAATTAATATTGTGTTATAAAAACGTAAGTAAAATATTAAAAAATATTAAAAAAATTATCTTATATTTTATTCACAATGTATATTATAATCTTTAGATTATATCTAATTAACTAGCTAAATATTCCATAAAATTTTTGTTTAAAGTTTAAAAATTCGTAACATTATGTTTTAGCCTTTATATTCTATCCAATTTTACTTTCAATTTTATCTGGGTTGTAAATCATGGCTAATTTTTTTCCTCGTAAAAGGAAGCGAAATTGAATTATTTTAAGGTATCATCGATGGTTATTACCTGTCGTATGATCCTCCACTGAGGATCGTTATAAAACTTGTGCAAGTCATTATCTGTTTACGGCTGCTTCTCCCATACGCTTATTATCTCCCTTAAAAGAATACGCTCCATAGTCCTTCCTAATTCGAAGGAGTTGATAAAACTTTTTCTCTTTCTCCTTCTTTCTCGTTGAATTGCCACATTTTCGCTCTACGACCCGGGCTAATAAATAATCGGCTCCTGTAATGAATTCGAAACTGGCAACCACCACTTAAACATATCTTCAACACCTGCGGTTTCTCGCTTTACTCGGAAAGGCTTTCTGATGCAGACCTCATCCGACTAAATGATTACACGATTGTGATTAAACGTCGTATTATAATTTCCAACCGGGTTGATACGACGAATCAACGTTCGAAACAACGTTCCACGATTACATTCGTGGAAAAAAGTGAAAATTCCGTTGAAAACCGTTTTTTCGATACATAATTATCTTCTAACTGCGATCGTTTATTCTTCGCGAGTGCATCTTCTTTCGCGCGCAGTAGACCGATGCAAACGTACTCAACCGTGCCGAATTAAATCGAAGGAAGAGATTACTATCCGTGGCATGTTTATTCTTCGCGTTTGAAACGTATATATTTTTATAACTAACTACAAAGACAAGGGCCGAGTACGTTTCAAGGTACAGACATTAATTGCGCTGATTGTACGCGCGTACGTGCGAAGGAACCTGAATTACGGGGTCTCTGAACGCGAAAACGTGTGCGTCGGAGGTACGAGAACAGAAGAGAAAGAAAAGAAGCGCAAAGAGATGCAAAGAGGCGGTGGTTATTTATAGGTTGCGCCCGGTTTCGAAGCCTTCCAAGCAAGGGTTCCCTCTCGTTTGCACTCCCTGTACGACCGTTTGGCTCGAGGAAAGACAAAAAAAAAAAGAAAAAAAGGAAAAAAAGAAGGACGGTAAGGAGGATTTATGGAGGATCTTTATTATTCCTCGTCATTATTCGTACGATGCTCCACTATACCGAGGTGGTAACAGGTGCACACTTTGTTCACTTTCTCGCCTGGCGCCTCTCTTCTTTCCCCCCGTCATTCGAATCGCGCGATCTTCTTCCCTTTATTTACTATTTACAGGAATTCAAGAAAACGGATAAAGAAAATGAAATGGAATTTTTATTCGACTTGAGATTATACGATGATAGAGTCATCGAGCAAAAAAAAGTCAACGACTCGGAGGACGAGCAGGATAGAAATTCCGAGAAAGAATAGTGTGGATCGTTCCTAAGCAGATCCATTGCAACCCCCATCGGTGGTTTCTTTCCCGGCTGATGGAAAAATGTGAAAGACAGAAGAATCGAGTTAACCGTTTGTAGCGGAATAATTCATGGATCAGGCCTGATACACGAGGCCTTGCCCAAAGGGCCGCACTTCCGCGCTTTATTCCGATAGCTCGTTAATTCACAGACTTTTCCGTGGAATGAATCGCCTCCTCCCTTAGTGGGATCCAAGGTAAAACGGCAGCTATAATCGGTTGGACAGCCGGAAAGATTTTTCCTTTCAGACATTTATGGTTACCGAGGGTTTGAGATACGGTCCATTGTACTCTCTTTCTCTGCGATCGTATATTTTCTCTATGCACGCCGAGATGCACCGGCCCTCTGTCTGCCCATTGCAACCGTATTCCACTACCTAGTTTTCTACTGGTGTTTTTACACCGACGACCACTCTGTTATTCGCTCGTTCCTTTGCCACACATTTGATACACAATTAACCACCGTCTCGTTTACATTCGAATGGCGAAGAAATTTCGTTTCATTGAACGAACATATTTCCAATCTTCTGAAGATTGTATAATTTTATCGCAAAAATCGTAAAATCTTGTTACTAGAAATCTTTTAAAAATTTTCCTCCTATTTGACGCTATAATATCTTTGGTATATCTGTTTCCAATCTTCGAACGAGATCCGAATAGTCGCGTAATAAAAACAAAAGCGAATAAAAGTTAAACGAATCTCCTCTCGTTTAGACTCATTCGCCATAATCGCATATTACTAAGAGACGTTTACTAGCAGCCCTGTTGCTTTTAAAATAATAACGTGCACGATCCGAGAAACGAGGGTCCGAGTTGAGGGTTTCGTTTACCGCAATCCCGTACATTTATTACGTTATACTGTTACCATCGGTTGCAAACACGTACGTTATATGCCAAGGCTTCTCTAGTAAGTTCAACGCTTCTATCGACAAGGCGTTGTCCACAAGCATCCTTGGATGGCGGAAAGAAAAAAGAAGGAAAGGGCATGCACGGTGAATTCCCACAGGTTGCTTCGTTATTCTGGAATTTACGTCGTACGCGAACACGTGAGAAACAATCGCTGATAATTCATAATTTGATAATCCACGGCTTCTGATCTTGGAGAACGCGAGTCTTTTTAAGGAAAATTACAATCGATGTTTCTCTCTCTCTCTCTTTTTTTTTTTCATTTAATTTATTCATCGAAAATTTTATTTCTAGAGTTCGATGAACTCTTGTTTATCCTGTTTATAAATCGTTGACTCCTTTCCTAAAACTAGAATTTGGATGACAATTAATAAATTATCTGTTAAACATCGAACTTAGGATGTTTGAAAATATTCCAACTAATGAATCCGAATAAATTTTTTATCGTAATGACTTAGAATAATAAATAGAGTAAGTAGAAAATCATAAAATCAATAAAAATTCATTTCTCCACGTTTACTTGGAACTTACTAACGTTTTTTAAAAAAATATTAAAGTTAAAATAATATAAGCAAATTAAAAAAAAAAAAAAAACAGACTACGTCTTCAAATCTTTCCATTTAGTATCTGTATAAATTATATTGCTTAAGATATGTTTTATCATCATCGATCAAATTTTCAAGAGCGATTAATTTTTCAAACATTGTATTTTTTTTACATATCTCGACGATTAAAATATGTCAAGATTTATTTCTTAATTCCTAAATAAACGTACAAATCAATATGCTAGAATTTTTTGAAATGAAATTGACTTAATCGAATAATTACAACGAAAAAATGTTACGAATATTTCTTTTAGAAATAAAAGTTTTGGAGAAAGGATTTTTTACGTGATTTAAACTGGCGCAAACAAGGAAATAAAATTGTATCGTATATAAATCTGTATAGAATTTCTGCTCGTTATCAACGGTTGATTTGTCAAATTAAATATTATTTTAACTTTAATGTTTCCATAAACGAACAAATGAAAAACGAAAAATAAAATAACGACTGGTGGCTCGATTTCCGATAGGCATCGAATTTTTTTTTTCCAGATCATATATCGATTGAGATATTAATAGTGGAACCAGTTGATGTGTACTCTCGTGGAAAAATAATGTGCTCGTTTCGTAAAGAAAGAAGAAGGAGCGAAGAATAAAAGAAAAAAAAAAAAGAGAAGAATGCAGATGCAGCTTCGAGGACGGGCATGATTTGTAACGATCAGACGGCTCTGCTTCTTGTCACTCCAGATTTATGACGAGATTCTGTTTCGTCACGCTTATCATCGTAAACTGCGACTTATCTACGAAAAATGTTAATTCTCTAAAAGAATAAGTATCCAACATTTTTGGAATGTTCGAAGCTTATAAAATATCCTATTTATGCAAAATAATAGTGGAGGAATTAATTTTTTTAAAACAAACAGAGAAATAATTTTAACGAAATGAATCGGAAAATAAAGTATAATAATATATTTTTCTTTAATCGTCATATATGATTCTGTTTATCGAATTTTCCGTACTTCAATTATTGATAATCTAACTACTTCTGATAGAAGTAAAACCGCTTGCTTTGAAACGAGTCACTAATATGCATATTTTATTATCTTTGTAAAGATACTACTTTGATAAGCACATTTTATGGAAATGATATAAAATAAAGAAACGAACGAAACGAGTGCTAATTAAAATATCCCCGAGAAATTTCGATTCACGACACTGGATATGTAATAGAATGTAATAAAATGTATAGGATTATACAAAGATCGATCGTATGTATACAGATTATCGATTCTCAATTATTCGTGGATAAAGCGACATCTATATACATCATCTATATACATAGATCTTTCTCTATTTTTCAATAACGAAACTCTATAATTATAAGTAATAATTACAATTATAAGTATAATGTTCTCTTTTAGGATACACGTATGCGATATCAATTCAATATGCGATGACACAGGCCAGAAATTATGAGTGACGAAATTGTTATGAAAAATTTCATAATGTTATAATGGAAATATAATTCCATAATAATTTCATAATGCGGCATTTAATATTAGATGAATTGGAAATCTATTACTCAACGATTGTATCAAACTTAGAGGATCGGTCGAGAAGGATAGAAATTCTAGGGAGACCGATTCGGAAGGAAAATGAGCCGATTTCTTCGATCTTCTTTGATGTAATGTGTAACAGCATCGAGCGTATAACGATCGAAACAGAGTTTGTGCCCCCTTCCACCTGGACGAAGCCACGATTCCTTCTTGCGTATAAGCGCAGACACGCACACGTACGCACATACAAGGGGTACCGACTTACGTAGACGTTGAACACACACACTTGGAAGCCAATTGGAGAGCCAAGACTTGGCCAAGTCTTTATAAGTAGGAGCCATCCGCGTCCTCAGGACTTACTCCCTCTCGAGAACGTGCCACGATCGGCAACCGATTTCCAGAATAGTTTCTGAAAACAGACATCGACTCGCGCGTCATTCATCTCGCGGCTCACGAAGGATCGTGGTGCAACAAACGTGGATATTTGGAAATTGGAAAAAAAAAGACAGCCACGAGATGACGAGTTGTACGAATTAACGGAGGACTTTCGGAGAGAGATCGTCTTTGATTCTACGCACAAGGTGAGTGATTCTTTCATTCGTTCGGTGTCTCTTCTTTTTTCTTTCAACTCTTTCGTTCTGGAAAACATGATTTTTTCTTTTTTTTTTTTTTTTTTTTTTTTGGAAACAATCGTGTCAGTGTCGAGTGATCAATGTTGGACGAATCGCAAGTTGTCGCAGTGTTATGTACCGCCAGTGATATTTATCGTGCTTTCGTTTTCCAGGACAATATTGTTCCTTCGTAAACACAAATGTTTGAATCTCGTTAAAATTTGTTGTCTTGTCATTTCTCGAGTGAACGTGGATTTACCAGTGTAAACCTCACCGCGTTTTCAAATACGTCAACACGATTCGATTTCTCATTGAAAAACAGATTAACTACGGTATAAACGGTTATGAAAATGAGATTGGTATATAGATTTGGAAATCAGACTCTTGGATTGAACGATTTAGTAGAGGACTTTGAACGCGTTCTCATTGATTCTCTAATTATGATACATTTGATAATTGAAAGTAATTGTAAGACTTCTCGAAATTCTGATTGGTTCACTCGACTGTTTAGCATTTTTTTTTTTTATGTTTCATAATAATCCTATAACAACGATGTCAAAATTTAATAATATCAATGTGAAACAATTATAACAGCATGAATCTGTAATGTACGAATATTTTTCTTTATCTTTCAAGAATAATTATTCTTGTTTTTCAAAATCAGAAGAGAAAAAGATCAACAACTGTATTCTTTATTATTTTTTAAATCGCGAAAAAATTGAACGTACAATTTTTATCAGATGCCATCTCCATTCCCGATCTAATTCAAATTACATCGCAAATAAAATGATAAACGGTACGACGCATTAAAAATCGATTATTAATTAACAATTAAACGAGGTACAGACTTTTTTAGCATATCATCATTAAAAATACAAATTCTTCGTTATAAGATGTGTAATAAGATTCCCGCGAAGAGTCGAAAACCGGCACGGTGCAAATACTTTATACATTCACCGGAGTCACGTAACTGTTTTACCGGGTTAGCAAGCACGATTTACAAAAGTTACAACGTGTCGGTGGCCGGACGTGTGCCGGCCGAAAATCTCCAGCTCGATTGCCGATTCTCGTCGCATCGGCCACTCGAAAATCGCGAGCTGTATTTGGATCGGGTGAGCATTCCGCCCGACCGGTCGAACCGATTCGTCGATCTTGGCATTGAGTCGTTCGTACAGAAGCCATACTGCGATGCAACTTGCAACTTGTCCTCGACATTGTCTCGTCACGATCCTCGTGTATCCCGTAAATGGAGCGTTTTCGCAAGGCCGTCGAAAAATATTTTTGGAGATAGTGTAATCGATTGGTTAACTAGACGTTGTTGAATATGGATAAGAAGGAAGCGGTTAATGCGTAACGTACTTCGTTAAATAATCATCGAGCTGCATCTCTCGAAGGTTACGAGAGGACTCGTTGAACATTCAGATTCTGTTAATTGTTTCGCCGCTGAAGGATAGTTTTGCAGAAATATTCGATCAGAAGTTTTACTAATGTGTAAAGTTGAAAGATTAAAAAAAAAAAATTCTTTCGCTATAAAGGATAGTTTATAGAAATATTCGATCAGAAGTTTTACTAACGTGTTGAAAACTAAGTTGAAAGATTAAAAAAAAATGTTAATTTAAATGTTAAGTTATCTTCGAGAAGACTTCGATCAAAATAATTTCGTTGAATTTCAAGAATTCTATCGTCGTGTCTTCTATCGTCATCGGTTTTTCAAATTGATGAAATAATACACATAGCTTTCAACGAACGTATCGAGGTGCAATAAGTAAAATGCATTATGCACAAGAGACGGATGCACGCGATACTTTTTCATTTGGTTTAACGAGCCATTCTTCCCGGATTTTTAAGATAAAAAGTGGGAATCCGCGAAGGACATTCCACTGGCACGGTTCACGAGCCAGAGAGTGCACCGACAGGTTGGTTTCATTGTCAGGTGCAACAAGAAATCGATTAAAAATGAATCGAGAAAGCTCGAGTATATTGTTTTCTTAATAAGCGAATCGTTTAAGGCTTTTGTAAGTCTCTTTTTATCCAGCGTTATACACATTTATGAATTCAAAAGTAGACGCGATCCGATAAAATGACTATTAGGATTGTGAAAGGATTTCTTAAGGATTTTTTCTCTAACGTGAAGACTCCATCGCGGAAAACTTTCCATTAATAACGAGACTTTAACAATCGGATTTTTAATTGAAACATAGCCTTGAAAGATTCCAGAATTCTGAGTTTTCATCGACAAAAGATAAATCCCGTGATTCATATTATTATTTAATGATATTCTCCTTGTAAAGAACGAATCTATTCAATGGCACAGCAACATTGTTTCTTACTCTTACTCTTATTAACTACGATCGGCGATTATAATCGATTTCCGCCATCATTTTCCACGTTATTTAATTAACCTGAATAATAATTGATAGTCACGCATTGCACAATTCTTCGGAACGGCCATTAATAAATTCTCGACTGTTTCGAAAACATTGATAACGTCGAAAATGAGTTTAAGAATGACAAACTGTTCCGGAGAAGAAAATTCAATTTTCTTTATCAGAAAACGCGACAGATATCTCGAGGAGCTTAACCAAGTTGTCTAAGAATATCTTATTATTAATAGTTCCAAACAAGGAACGCTCGCACGTAATTTATATCTCTGATTTTATTGAATCTCATTGATTTACACTGACTATAATTACGCTCTATTTACGTCGTCGTTAATATCTTAAAGGGATTTCTCATTTTCTTGTAACCGTGATGCACGAGCATGTTCAGAACCTTGAACCCTCGTTGGTACCTCGAGTATAAAATGTATGATAAATCTACGGTTAACGTTGGAACGGGGAGGATTGCGGTCGCGAATAAGGGAGATAATGAAAAAATGAAGAGGACGATGTAAACGGCCCCGTGTGGGAAGGCTTGCACGTGCAATTTACAAGTATCCCTTTAATTGCCGTGGATACGATTACCTTCGCCAACGGACCGTGTTTATCGTGGATATTATATGAAGAAGGATAGCATTGTCTTCGAATTAGTCTTCGAAACTCATCGATCGTGTCTTTCGATCAATTTCGATGATTGCATTGTTGCTGCGATCGTTATTGGCTGTGATTAGACGAAAGAATTTCCATCGATCTTTCAATGTCTTTCTGTGAAGTGTAAAGATTCGTCGAAAAAAAAGTATTCGAAAGTCATCGAAACGAAAGAAGTAAGCGTTTCCAAGTTAGATTTAATTTTTGACAAGTTTGAATGCGGACGATGCGAAAAATTAGAGGTGTTTGTAATTCGATTACCCGGTTAATTCACCGCGCGTCATCCGTGCATCAACGAGGATGCGATAGAGAGGAGGATAGAGTGGAATTGGTGGGAGAAGAAACGGCCTTGCGACTTTCCATGGCAAGGCTGCACTTATTGCATCGAGCATGCCATCACAACAAACTAGGTTCACTGTACCGGATTGTTTCTTCGGCAGAGCGCGTTTTATCTTTTCTTGATTACTCTTCTTGTTACTTGTCTATATACCCCTAAGCGTTATACAAACTGGTTCAATCGAGGATAAGTTTATCTTTCGCTTTCGTACTTGGCGATGCTTGGCGACTATTTTTTTTTTCTTTTTTCGTCTTTTTCGCGTCTTTTTTGCCATTTCATCGAATTTTCTCTATCAAATGGTAAACTGGATTTTACCAAGCGTAACGATTCCATTCCAGGAGGAATTCCTCTTTCAAACTGAGACATTTATAGGTTCGAAGAAGAAGTCTGGTCTGGTCGATAGTTTCTCTTCGGATCGAGAACTGGTTCGATCAAACTGACCATGATTTTCAAGGACGTACTTCGTTTTTACGTCTTACGAGCTTCGAGAATTTGAGAATATGAGTCGAAGTTCGATCCGTGGCGAAAATCATCACGAAACATTCTGAAAAGGACGAACAACTAAACTTCTTTCGACTCGTGTCGGTCATTGGATATCTCTTTTTTTAATTTTTTTATTATTCGTGAGTGAATTGCAAAGATGACGAGACGGTTAACTGTACGCATCGATTTCTTGAATCGCGATTCATCGGACAATTGATTTTAATTCGAGGCCACGCGTTTCGAGCAAACAGTTACATAGCTGCATTTTTCCCCTACTGGATGAGTTTTCACTGTGAAAATTGTCACAAATTGTCAGAAAATTGACTTCACGAATCGAAAAAATTATTATTTTCTCGTTAGAACAATAACAAGATTAGGAAGGGAGAAATTACACGAAACGAATTTGCACAAATTAACTTTACAAATTATTTTTACATTAGTATACACATATAGATGAAGATTTGAAAAATTTATCAAATACGTTTCAAAGAAGATTCACGGATATTTATTCAAATTTACATGTACCAAAAGATCAAGTATTAATTAAATCGTTACTTTGATGATTCGGTTGCAATCTTAAATTCTTTTATTTCCGGATACTTTTCGTCCGTAAAATCGTTAAATCACAGACCTCGCGAGAAAATGTACAATTAATGATACCTTTCGAGTTGTTTGCCTCTTTCTAAAGCACCTTTTACGTTATTTCGAAGTCAAATTAAGTTAAAAAAAAATATTCAAAATTTTTACGAATATTTAAAGAACATCCTTGAAGGGAGAATTTCAAGTTTTTCTTTTTTTTTTTTTTCCATCGTTATACGATTTGTAATTTCTACCTTGTAATTTCTGCAACAAAGATATTTCAAAAGCGAATTTAATTGCACGAAAAAACCATGAGATGTATCTCGATCTTGAAATATTTCAAGGTTTCTTCGAGTTCTTTTATTCTATTCTATTCTATTTTATTCTTTTATTCTAGCAACAACAGGTGGCAAAATGGTTGGAATGGTTTTATAAATAGGTCGTATAACTTCTTAATGATCCGTCGTTATTCTGTCTTTTTATGTACCTTTGCCTAGTTTACACTGCATTTCGTATTACACGTTTATATTCGACACAAATTTATGATCGAGTAATATATTGCTACAGATGCACTGTCGCTGATGATTGAAAAAATAATTCGTAAGACGTTTCTAACAGATGTTTCAGGATAGATATTTATTCCGGTATAATATATCGATTGATTTTCAATTTAAATGAAATAATATGAATTTTCTTGGAAAATGTAATTTTCTTTGATCGCAGAAATACCAGGTGGAGAAGTTTCAAGCGAATTTTTCTTCTTCTATTCTGGAGCATCTGGCCTTCCAATAAAACTTTTAAATGCGATCCACGACACATATCCTTTTGTTTTTTGCGTTTTTTTCTCGAGGAATCGGGAACACTGTCGACACGGGGTCCGATCGATTCGTATTCAAAGCGCGAATCCCGTGTGAACGGGGCTTGAACCCTCGCCGCGCGAAATGTTTCATTCAACAAGGAAAGGTGCTTCACCCAAATCGCACGGGCCATTCCTGGTAAATCGAATATCACGTAAATCTGCGATTAAACTAATCCGCGACCTACGTATTCCGCTTCGACGTCTTTCAAATATTCATAAATAATCGTCTTAAGTCGGATCGAGAAACGGATTTTTGATAAAGCCGATAAAAATCATTTGACAAGACGAAGGATACGAATAAAAATTATAGTAATCTGAACAAGTTAATTTAATTGCTATTTTTTAATATATAATTTAACTTTTCGAGTTAAACTAAAATGGTAATATACAGAATCAACTATGAAACTTCAAATCCATTTTTCACAACATTCTCAATTTTATCATCAGATCTTAAGTTTTCGTGTGACATAATAATGTCGTGAAATGCTGCTTTTCGATTATAAATCAGTCAACTTCAATGCCAAGATCACCGACACTGACATTGACTGTGACGTTATGTCAGCACACTCTCTCCTCTTCTTTCATTCCGAGCTCGGAGAGGCCGCATTCTCGGATTATGTCACTGTTCATGTAATCCCCTTTTCACTCCAACCAATAGAAAGGAGGAAGGATCACAAAGACATGGAGCATAGCTCGGGCAGATTTACCTTTTCAACGTACACAGTTTTCTTCATTTCTCCCTCTACTTAACTCGAACAGCTTCTTTTCGATCCATCACGATTTATTTATTTTGTCTCTCCTTTCCACGGTTATTTCGCGATGTGTGCATCTTGACCAGTTCTAAATGGACGGATACGATACGAGGCTGTGCAGCATCGCTGTTGTTTCTGACCAATGATATTTATGACATTCTCTGTATAGGTGTAACTCTCCGTATCCGGTGTATTTCATATATCATCGTTCATAGATGATAATTTTGAGGAAAGAAACGAAAGAGCATAAATTGCGTGAATGAATGAAGAACGATGCGAAAATTTTCGAAATCTAATCATCGACGTTGGCCCTTTCAATGATTTATTCTATTCGATCTCCTTCAGTTAACTAAAGAAACAAAAGAAAAAGATTGTGATAGTATTTCACTATTGATTAATCCAGCAATTGTATATAATTCGATATTTGTAAGAGAAGAAATAATACAATTTTTGTGATCGAATCAACGATGGATATATCTATCCATCATTTTCAATCGCATCGATAGTCTGTCGAACAATCGTCGATGGTAGCAAACGATACATCTCCGTCTACTTTCGAAATATCTAGCATTCATAATCCTCGCGTGGGGGTGCAATCAAGGGGGTATAGATCGAAGATAGAGAATTTCGAACAAACGGTTTCTTTCCTTGTTTCATCGCCATAAACGCGTAGGAATTGTGAATTCGCGCCGAATTTTTATTTTTTATTGTTTCAATCGTGTAACGAGATAAATTCATGAAATGATAAGATAATTCATGGAATGATAAGATAATTCATGGAAGAATTAATTTTTCGATAATTGTGATTGCATTCGAGTTACTGTTAATACTACGATAAACGATTCGGTAAACTGTTATTGATGACCAGTAATCGTTGCATTGGCTGCATAGAAAGAATTCGTTTAGAAGAGAATTAAGGAATTTACAATGCAGATTGTAGAATGGCATAGCCAAGACGATATACATAAACATTCACTTCTCGTCTTTCTTATACCGTTTACGAGAATGGTGATTTACATGTGTTGGTGAAAGAATCTATCGCGTTAAATCATTAAATACGCGTCGAAGATCAATGCTAAACGTAACTGTAAAAGTGAATCAATTATCAGCCGGGTATTCAAATCGTTTGCCTAGCACGTGTAAGTCTATCGAATAACAGAAAAATCGGGGTCACGGATCGGTTTGTGGAGACGCGATCGAAATGAGAATCGTTTGATCCTGAATCATTGACGAGAATTATTCCAGCCAAGGTCAGGAGACAGTTAGAATCCTTTGACCATCGCTGATGGGGGAAGATTGGACGTAGGCCAACCAGGACGTAACAGAAGACGTAACAGAACTGTGTACGGCTGCTTATATTTGCTTGTTTATACGAAATTCACAACTGAGGAAATCCACGCCTCTTGCCCTAGAAAACAAATTACGTCATGTTCTGCTATCCCGTTAAAAGAAGTTCGAACGCCGAATTGAATCTGAATTTATATGATCGTCCTTAATTCATCGTTTGGAAATCGATAAAATTATGATTGATTTTTATCATAGCGTTACTATATGGATCGTTTTAATTTCAGACACGCTGAAGAAAAATCATGTGGACAAGCTTAATAAAATTAGGCGTCGTAACGATATTAATTTCGTCGACATTTGCCAAACCAGGTAAGACTTGATCATTGATTCGAAGTTTGAACAAAAATTAGTTCGAAATATTCATGATTTGTAATAGAAATAACATAAAAGATAGAAAGAAAGAAATACATGAATTATTTATTTTTTTAACAAGCCGATTTGTACACAAAACACAAATATGATTATCGATTCTACATAACTATTTGTAACCATCTTTATTTCTTATCATCATAAATCATCATCAAAAATGTTATTGTTCGCAATGTTTTCAAATTAGTTTTGCGCAAGATACATAGCTTTGAGTGTATCGAAAAAAAAGATCACTAATATAAAATTCTTCATACAGATCATATATAACCAGCTAAACTTGAATATTCCGAATAGTTGCTAATTTTTTAAAGAAAACAAACTTTGAATCGAATTCCGTTCCAATACAAATAATCCTTTATATTATTATTATTTCTAATAAATATTTTCAATATTTTATAGATCAAAATATCATCGATTTCTCTAAATTTTTAAATGGTATCGCGTGTATCGAAGTAGGATATCATGAGGATCCTCACGACTGTAGGATATTCTACAGATGTGTCGATTGGGGATACGGAAGACCTCTAAGGAAATTTAAATTTGAATGCGCTATTGGAACAGTATTTTCGAAACACAAAGGAAATATATGTACTTTTCCAAGTGACAGCGGTCGTCCTGAATGTGGTGGCCTAGATACAGACATCACAACGAAGAAAATCACAAACACAAGTACAACTGCACAACTTACGACTACGACTCAACTTACGACTTCTATCGAATTATCAACTGGAAAACCTAGCAACGATCAGGGTCGAAATCAATGCGTCCAAGAAGGATATTTCCCGGACTTAAATGATTGCAGAAAATTTTATAGATGTGTTGATACAGGATCCGGAAACTTCATAAAATATGAATTTGAATGTGGTGTTGGCACTGTCTGGGATCCAGATATAGAAGGTTGCAATCATCCTTGGGCAGTATCACGGGACGATTGTAAAACAGGATCAAACACAGGAAACGACAGTGCCGGACAAGGAAATAATACATCTGACGCTATAACTAAACCAGAAACATCAACTATATCAATATCGGAAAATACAGGTATTCCCATAAAATTAAGCATACCTCATATTCATACTTATATTCCTATTAAAATTATAAATATATTTAATTAATTAACTATATCTAACATATCTTAAACTTCTGGCATATCAGAAATAACTGATATATCTGGAACTTCTGGCACATCTGGTACCTCTGGCACACCTGGAACGCCTGGAACTCCTGGCACATCAGGAACACCTGGAATTCCTGGCACCTCAGGAACATCAGGTATACCTGGAACGTCAGGAATATCAGGCACTTCAGGTATCTCAAGCACACCTGAATTTCCTGGCACATCTGGTACACCTGGAATACCTGGCACTCCAGGAACTCCTGGCACATCTGGAACTCCTGGTACGCCTGGAACTCCTGGTACGCCTGGAATTTCTGGCACACCTGGCACATCTGGCACACCTGGAAGTCCGGGCACACCTGGAACTTCTGGCACATCTGGCACTCCTGGCATATCTGGTACTCCTGGAACTCCTGATACACCTGGCACTCCTAGTACACCTAGCACTCCTGGTACAGCAGGAACTCCTGGCACATCAGGAAGTCCTGGCACATCAGGAAGTCCTGGCACATCAGGAAGTCCTGGCACATCAGGAACACCTGGTACATCTGGAACTTCTGGCATTCCTGGCATATCTGGAACTCCTGGCACACCTGAAACTTCTGGCACACCTGAAAGTCCTAGCACATCAGGCACTCCTGGCACACCTGGAAATTCCGGCACACCTGGAACTCCTGGCACACCTGGAACTCCTGGCACACCTGGAACTCCTGGCACACCTGGAACTCCTGGCACACCTGGAACTCCTGGCACACC